CTTTGACAGTTTATTTCTTATAACCTCTTCTGTGAACACAATGTGGATCAGTGCTGTGTCAAACCGTCTGTCCTCAAACGCAGGAAGATTGTTCGCATCCTTTCATGTGAACACCAAGGAAAAGTGTTAATGATGAACACCACATCAACTGTTATTGTTTTCTAATATCTCATGGCTCACACTATTAGTTCAGTTCTACTTAGAAGCCTCAGAGGCCAAGATTAAGGTTAGTGCTGGAAGTGGTTCTTCTCCGAGTGCTACTAAGACAACTCGTACTAGAAGCACTGTGATAGAGAAGGTGGAAAAGATGCTGGCAATGTGGATGGAAGACCAGAATCAACACAATGCCCCTGTGAGCCTTATGGTTATCCAGCCGAGGATGGTTTCAACGATTTAAGCGTCGTTATAACTTCCATAACATTAAGATGACTGGTGAAGCTGCCGACACATTCCCGCCAGAATTCAAACGAATTATCCATGAAGGAGGCTACTCATCGAAGCAAGTCTTCAATGTGGATGAGACTGGTCTCTTTTGGAAGATGCCTGATCCAGATGCCTGAGAGGACCTATATCTCCAAGGAGGAGAAAAGAGCACCGGGTTTTAAAGCGGCAAAAGACCGCTTGACGCTGCTGCTTGGTGCGAACGCTGCCGTCGACTTCAAGCTGAAGCCTATGCTGATTTCTCACACTGCTAACCCACAGGCCCTGAAAGGTTACTCTAAGGATCAACTTCCAGGGATCTACAAGGCAAACAAGAAGGCACGGATAACCGGCGCCATATTCAGCCAGTGGCTAAACGTGTACACCGTCCCTGCACTGAAGGAATACTGTGCCAAGGAGAACCTTAACTTCAAAATTCTTCCGATCGTTGACAATGCTCCAGCTCATCCTCCCAATCTCATCGACTTGCATGACAGTGTAAAAGTTGTATTCCTGCCTCCCAACACGACAGCACTGACACAGCCTATGGACCAAGGCGTCATCGCCGCATTCAAGGCGTATTATTTACGCGGTACCATGGCCCAGCTGCTCAAGGCTACAGACGGAGAAAATAAACCAACGATCTGAGAATATTGGCGCAGCTTGAACATTCTTCATGCAATTGACAACATTGGCAAGGCATGGGAAGAGGTTTCAGAAAGTTGCCTGAATGGTGTAAGCTGTGGCCCGAGTGTGTCAACAGTTTTACAGGATTCATGGACTTAGTCCCAGCTGTGAATAGGGATATCCTCAGCTTGGCTAGACAAGCAGGCTTTGATGAGCTGGAATCAAAGGATATTGAGGACGTCCTGGCATCCCATACAGAAGAGCTCACCAACGAAGATCTGCAACAACTAACAGAACACAGTCCTGTTGAAGACAACGACGAAGAACCTCAACGAACTCTAACTACCAAGAGGATGGCAGAAGCGTTCAACATGATCCAGCAAGGTAAGCAAATCCTTGTAGATGTCGACCCAAACAGAGAAGGTAGCTCAAAGGTTCAACACAGCATTGATGACAGTCTTGATTGTTACACTGAGATGTGTAAGAATTCATTTTTTGTCGCGGGATGGCAGAAGCAGCAGCAGCATCTTCACAACAGCTGGCAGTCGAGGAGGAGCAAACATCAATGGAGGAGGAGCAAGCAGTGGCAGAGGAACCCCAGTCAGCACAGGAGGAGGAGGAGGCAGCCGCAGTGACTCACCACCCTCCTCCTCCGCTCCCACCATCCGCCTCCTCCACTTAACTACCCACCAGACACCTCTGCCCGACGGTGAGTACCCATACAAACTTAGTACTACAGCAGTTGTATATGTATGCACTATTTCCTATAGAAATGGCAATGATTTTCTGTATATGTAATGTATTTCATGGGTCAAAGGGAGGCTCAGCAACGTAACTCCAGATTTTATCAATTTTTTATGGGGAAAATTGATCCGCTTAACGTTGTTTCGTATAACGTCACTGTTACGACCCTAGGCCTCTTAGGGTGTAACAAAATTACAAATTCTACTTCTCTTTATATTATAGGTCCAGGAATAGATCCCACCAAATCATCACCTCATTACTATGGGGTATATTGAAGTACATGCAGTAGTTTAAATTACAGAATATATTAACAAATAAACAATAAAATAAATATATCAGTATGTACAAAAATAAACAAATACAAGTTAAATCTGATCAAATAAATGACTCAACCGAGTGACAAAATAATGAACACAAAAGTAAAGACTTATTTAGTCTAGAAACTACGATGAACAACGTGGTCTATCCACCACACGAAACCTCATAAATAAGGAAGTTATTTTCCGTGGAACTTTAAAATATGATTAACAATAATCTTTCACAAATAATACTTTACTTGGTATTATAAAAGTCGAGCAAGGTTTACACGTTATACCACTAGAAACATACTGTACAATAAGAAAGGAGATACTCTGTACTTAACTTAACACTGCTGGGCCCATACTAAAGTAAACAAGGTGAGCGGACGCGGGCAGAAATGACGTCACAAACAAAAGACGTTCACGTTGCGAATCCACAACCAACAATGGAACGCTCACTCGTATCATCACATTTTCAGGAACTTAACCCCGACGTTAAGCGAGGACTTACTGTATCTTAATTCATAATCTATGGCTATAAGTGATTCATCTTCATCTATTTCATAATACAGTACTCCCTCTTTATCGACGGGGGTTACGTTCTGTAAACGGCCGTCGATAAAGAAACCGTCGATACCGTGATGGTTACGTAATTTTTCTAACTATTATTAGCATATGTTGAATAAATGTACCTTTAAGCATTAATGCGTTTCCTTTACGCATAACCTTAAATAATAGTGTATAAATAATAATATAATAAGTGGACAAAAATACTAGCAAACTTACGATTTCATTTATTGAAGTGAACATCGGTCCTTACAGTAAACAAAACAGTGTACAGTACAGTAAAAGTCCAAAAATCCGGCTGCCCAAGGCAAATTGTTTACCATTTATTATTACAACACTTTACACTGAAACGCGGGTAGTTTCAACAAAAATATTGTATATTTCCATTCAAGTATTTATTCAAGTCAATTAGGAGGGAATATTATTGTAATACAACAGTTTTTTAACTAAACCATTCGAAAAGTGATTACGGTAACATCTTTTGAACGAAAGAAAGTGAGTCATTGTTTTCGTCACGATTTGATCCCACTTTCCACTTTAATACGTACGTCATTTCAACAAAAATATTACATTTCCGTGAATGTATTATATCAAGCACAGTATGAATAGAATATCATTGTAATATAACAGAATTTTAACCGAAAACTATTAAAAAAACGAGTAACATCTCAAGAACATCGGAAGCTTAGGTAAAGTCTTTTGTTTCCGTCATGTATTTTATCCTATTTTACATTGAAATACATCACGTTTCAGCAAAACTACTATTTATTTCCGAGAATATATTCATTCAGGCGCAGTTTAGGTAAAATATACGTGTGATGTAATAATTTTTTAACTGAAAATGATTCGAAAAACACGTACCCTCTAGCCCTGTTCAAGGAGAGGACTGGGAGAAGCTGTTTGGTGCCAAAATAAAAATCCGGCTAAATAATCCGTCGATAATCGAAACCGTCGATAAAAAATCCGTCGATAAAGAGGGAGTACTGTATATTCTTATAATAATAATAGACTTTTTGAACCTATAGGTTATTTCAAATTCATTTTCAATTCATCAATCATGTAATTAATTAAAAAATAAAAATAAACATATGAATTTGGCCAAAATTTTAATTATAATGACCCAAATTAATGAGGATAGTGAACTTTATTAATAAATGTACAGCCAGTCAAAAAACAATCTTTACTGGGGAGAGGAAGGGAAGGAGGGGAGGGGGGCGATGAATTTCACGATGAATACTGTGACTTGGTTGGCTCAGTAGCGTCATTAAAATGTTTTGTTTGTTACGTCACTAATTATAGAGCTTTTATTTTATCGTTTATTCTTATTTACTTACTTACTTTTACTCCTCCTTTATTCTCTAATTCTCTATTCTTAATATTTCTCTGTTCTTTATACTCATGAGATGGAGGGAAGGTTAGGGGTGGAGGAATGAGAGAGAGGGAGGATGAGCAAAGGAGGAGGGAGGTAATGGTTCGGCCGCCATCATGGGGAGAGAACAACTGGTGAATAGGGGTAACCTGCGACACCTGAGACACTAAGGGAAACAGGTTATTACTCAGGACTCACTGTATACCACCAAGACACTTATAACACATCAGCCTTTCTCAATAAGGGAGGGATGAATTAGGACTCTTATTAACGGTTACTGTATTTATTGAATACTTTATATTAGGGTTTGACAATTACACTTGTTACGAACCTCTCCACCCAGCACTACGAACCACGCCATCTATTGTCTTGATCTACCTACCCAGCACCACGAGCAACGCCATCTAGGGACGAGACACGAGTATGACTCGTCTTAGTTACCACTCCGGGGTTTCCCTTCTCCATATCCTGGTTGTTGCGTCACTTCCTCCAAGTCTTCTTTGTCAGCTCCAATTCGAGGAGAGAGGACTACACTCTGGGAAGTGACCACAGGATCACCTATCCTCTAAACCTACGGCACAGTGACTACCTATCGTCTTCTACAATACTCAGCCTTACTCGTCAGCCATCTCAGCTCCTCACTTAAGTATTTGTAATCTTGTATTGCCTCTCCCACCTCCACCTTGCTTCACGATTGTTTTATGTTTTGAATTTTACTACAACATAGTTATTTGTCGTCAAAAAGTGGAGTTTGGGGGTCGGGCTGGGTTCTATTGGAATTAATCCCATATGTTCTGTTATTCACTTAACGCGGTTTTCACTTAACGCGGGACCCTCTGGGTTCAATTGACCGCGTTAAGTGGGGTACAACTGTACTGTTAATGTTTAGGTTAAGTTTGGTTAAGGGTAATTTATAAGCTGAATATTTTGTTAAGGGATTTATGGTACTTTATTATACACGACAAAAGCTCTCATCCTTTGTCTACCCTTTTATAGTCCGATTGTCTTTGTTTTTTTGTGTTGTTACCTGTTGGGATCTGGGTAGACGTTTAACTATATTATAAATCCCCAACTCGTAACACACTTCAAAACAAAATACCTATCTTCCTAGCTAGTTAAACAGGGGTCACATGAATCACAACACATTTCATGAAACGGATAAAACCTGAAGGATACTCACATATATATATATATATATCCCGCATTGTGGGATGGCGACCAAACACGTCTATACGTCACTATGCCAAACCGGACTGTGTTTGAAAACCAGGCACCCGCACTGGTGGGGAATGAACTCAGCATCCAGCCAAACAGCACAATTAGGCCCATGATGTCACACTCATAGGCCACTGTGATTGGCTCATGCTTGGCAAGAAACACTCACTCATGGCATTGATACATCACATTTTGTATAGATTGGTTTTAGAGTGACCAAAGTTGAGTCTTAAAATGACTATCAATAACACAAGTATTCCACAAAAACAATTTCAGAATTCTTCCTTAACAAAAACTGAGAGTGGATCATAATTAGTTTCCTTTTTCACTCCTTCAGAAACACACATCTCCACTGTTGGTTGGCTAGACAAGCTCAAGTCATGGTGCAAATCCTGGCAACTTTCACCTTCATAGTGATGAGAGTTGACCACTTGGTCAGTCTGGTAACATCTCTCTACATGTAATATTAAACTCTCTCTCTCTATAAAGTTTTTCATGCATCTTACACAGTGGAAAGGTTTTTCTAAGTGAACTTTCTTGTGTCTTACTAGAAGATACCTTTTAGAAAAGCCTTGATGACATTCTGAACACTGATAAGTTTTGTCTCCTGTATGAATTCTCTTATGAATGATAAGAGAAGATTTACGTGAGAATCTCTTAAAACATCCTGAACACTGATGAGGTTTCTCTGCCATATGAACTTTCTTATGATTTATGAAAGAAGTTTTATCTGAGAATATTTTAAAACATTCTGAACACTGATAAGGTTTCTCTCCTGTATGAATTTTTTGATGGGTTTTAAGAGAAGTTTTACGTGAGAACCTTCTTAGACAATCTGAACATTCATAGGGTTTCTCTCCTGTATGAACTGTCTTATGATTTATGAGAGAAGATTTATCAGAGTATATTTTAAAACATTCTGAACACTGATAAGGTTCCTCTCCTGTATGAACTTTCTTATGATTTATGAGACAAGATTTATCCGAGAAGGTTTTAAAACATTCTGAGCACTGAAATGGTTTCTCTCCTGTATGAACCTTCTTATGACTTATGAGAGAAGTTTTATGCGAGAACCTTTTAAGACATTCTGAACACTCATAAGGCTTCTCTCCTGTATGAACTCTCTTATGATTTATGAGAGACGTTTTATCTGAGAACCTTTTAAGACATTCTGAACACTGATAAGGTTTCTCTCCTGTATGAACTCTCTTATGAATTATGAGAGAAGATTTATGTGAGAACCTTTTAAGACATTCTGAACACTGATAAGGCTTCTCTCCTGTATGAACTCTCTTATGATTTATGAGAGAAGTTTTATCCGAGAACCTTTTAAGACATTCTGAACACTGATAAGGTTTCTCTCCTGTATGAACTCTCTTATGAATTATGAGAGAAATCTTACACGAGAACCTTTTCAGACATTCTGAACACTCAAAGGGTTTCTCTCCTGTATGAACTCTTTGATGTGTTTTGAGAGAAGTTTTACGTGAGAACCTTTTAAGACATTCTGAACACTGATAAGGTTTCTCTCCTGTATGAACTCTCTCATGTGTTTTGAGAGAAGTTTTACGTGAGAACCTTTTAAGACATTCTGAACACTCAAAAGGTTTGTCTCCTGTATGAGATCTCATATGTCTCTCTAAATGACATTTGTGAGTAAAGTGTTTTGAACATTGAGGACACTCATAAGGTTTCTCTCCTGTATGAAATTTCTGATGATCTACGAGAGAAGTGTTATCTGTGAACCTTTTAAAACATTCTGAACACTGATAAGGTTTCTCTCCTGTATGAACTTTCTTATGTTTTATTAGAGAAGTGTTATCTGTGAACCTTTTAAAACATTCTGAACACTCGTAAGGTTTCTCTCCTGTATGAACTCTCTGATGATTTACGAGAGAATTTTTATATGAGAATCTTTTAGGACATTGTGAACACTGATAAGGTTTCTCTCCTGTATGAGCTCTCATATGTCTCACTAACTCACTTTGTCTTTTAAATTCTTTAAAACATTCTGAACACTTATTAGATTTCTGTTCTGTATGAACTCTCAGATGATTTATGAGAGAAGATTTAACTGAGAACCTTTTAAAACATTCTGAACACTCAAATGGCTTCTCTCCTGTATGATCTTTCACATGTGTTACTTGATGTGATTTTACAGACAATTCTCTGGGAGACTCTGACTGTTCCTCTGAGTGACCTTCCATTATAAAACTGTGTGTATTGTGTGTTCAAAGGTTTTAGTGACACTTAACTGGCAAACTGTTTCCTCCTACAAGAACTATTAATGTCTTGTTACTGTTAATTATATTTGACATGAAAACTGAAACATAAATCAATTAGTGAATGTGATTTACTGACACTGATGTAATGATGCTGAGATGGGAGGACAGTGAGGAGGTAAGTGTGATGGAAGATCCAGTTTGTGATGTGACTACACCATTATTAACAAGGTTCCTCTATACCTCTTTGAACTAAATGTGAAAAATGGTGTAAAGAATGAGTTACACATATAACTATACTTGTCATTAACAAACACTGTTTATGACTTACAACATACACTATAAAAACACTCAACAGGGAAGTGTACAAAAATTATATACTGTACACTATTGTTATATGTACAGTTCCTCTGATGTACAGTAAACAATAATACTCAGGCTGATATACTACTGTACTTGTGATGGCTGGTAAACAATAATACTCAGGCTGATATACTACTGTACTTGTGATGGCTGGTAAACTTTTACTACATGTGACAAAAGTCTTATGAGGGGGTGAATCTATACACAAGTTTTGAATTATTTCAAAACATATTTCCACAAGGAAGAATAATTTCTTGTCTACTTGTAATTCTTTGGTTCAGTTGGTAATACTTTGTCTATGTCCACTGTTGTTTACACCTGCACCCAACATAGTGTTCTCACAGTCTACTGCTTCTCTTCCCACTGCCATTTGTTCTTCAGTTCATATCTGTGGGAAGGAAAGTCAAACATATTAGTGAAATAATACTTCAGACTTCCTTTATGTAACTAGAGACACATTCCCACATAAAAATGTCCCCCAAAACATATTGTACAGTGCTAAAATAACACTTGGTTAATATTATTCAACTACAGCTGCGTCTCAATTTATGCTGTAGATGCATTCTTGTAAATGGCCGTGTAACACACACAAATCAACGATAATTCTCCCATATGAAATAAAGGAAATAGTGGGATGTGGCCTCAACACTCATTCTTTGGTCTATACAGTATACTGTAGATACATATTTCCTTCACTATTTAATTTTTAACTATGTATTTGTTACTCACAATAATAAAGACATTAAAGAAGAAAGAACACGACTAAATTATCGTAAATTGAACGAGTATTGGCTCGAATCAAGAGCAGGCTGACAGGCAGATTCCACTGGTTTTGATCCTTGATCCACAGACTCAGCTTCGTCTCCATGATGGCAGTCACTGAGGTTCCAGACTTAACAATTCCTTAATTTGGGGACATTGTCACATAATGTGTGGACGGTACTAAGGCCTGACCTACATCAGCTATGTGTTCTCCTCTTATCACAGGGCGTTGGTAAGTCAATGTGTTGACCATTATATGATTGACTGGTATACTATGTTAATAAATTAACACCAAATATATGTACTGCTATATGAAGGTTAAGATTAGATTTACGGCGGTCACTCGCTACCAAAATGTCATGTGATTCTCAACTTGGAAGTTGAAAAATTTTTTTTTGGGCCTTTCCACAAAGAACGACTATCTCCATTGAATTAAGCTTCAAATACTGAGCAAAATGAGACCAAGTTTGTCTGCCAAACTAGCAACAATCAAGGTCCAAATATTTAACAAGATATTCACTATAAAACATCTAAAAAATATGAACAAATCAAACAACTCCTTCTGATGGTGGCAGTTTCTTCATAAAGTAACATAGAAAACACCAACTATGGCTAGTAAGCTGACAAGTGGTGGATGATAAATTAAATTGAGGTAATTATTGGTTTTAGCGACTTTCATGTTATTACGTGAAATCCTATTTTTCTGGTGTATTTTGGTGAGTTGTCTTCATATATGACCTTCATTTTCTTTGAAAATTTGTGGTTTTCAAGGAAATTAAGATTTTGCATTTTCCCAGTACCTGAAGATTTCCCAGTTGAATGAAGGTAAAATTTACCAGAAACACCAAAATTCACCAGAAAAATAAGTTTTTGTGCAGATAATTTGACCCGTGGGGGGAATAGGGTTTTGGGACTGGATGATAATAATAATAATAATAATAATAATAATAATAATAATAATAATTGGGAACACAAAATATATTGGAAACAATTTAGAATAAACAACTAAATGAACCTAAATTAATCTTCTTCTTTTTCTCAAAAGAGTGACAATCTCTTAAGGTCAAATGTTAGTTTTGAACTCACCAGTAAGTAAATGTGAATAAAAAAAGGCTAATTCTATTGGAAATGTAAACATCAGTAAAACCAAACTTAACCCAAGGTAATGTTGTGATATATGATCAACATGGGTATTATTATCACTCTGGTCATGCAACGAATTTTAAGTTTAAGTTAAGTTAGGTTAAGTTGTTTAAGGTAAGGTAAGGTTAGGTCAGGTTGTTTAAGGTAAGGTTAGGTCAGGTTGTTTTGAGGTAAGGTTAGGTTAGGTTAGGTTGAAATTATGTTTTTCAGATAGTGATGTGTTATGAATGATTCTGACCTACAGTACTAACGGTAAATTTTTATTTTCGGCCATGAGTCCCGAGTGGTTGACCAATATGCTTTTCCAGTGTATTTTTGTGTGTTTTAATTGAATTTGACCTTCATTTTTGGCGAAAATTGATAGTTCCCCCCCCCCCACCACACACACACACGCAATAATGGGAGAGAGCCTGTGGGGTACAGGATATTTGGTTCACACTCAGGATGGGATGGAGAAAGGAAACTCACTATGTGCTCTCTGTATACATGTTGTATTGGATGTACAATGCAGCTTGGTGCTGGGAAGTGGCAGCGCGGTTACAAGCGCGATGTAGAGATAGCTGGTTGGTGAGGGTGCTCAGAGGAGGACAGCTTGTGGGTCGCCATGCTCGCCGGCGGGAGCGAGGACCGCCAGGCAGGAGGAGGAGGTGTTGCTGGCTGGTCGGTGGAGGTAGAAAAAGAGAGGTCACCACGAGGTCAGGTCTTAAATAGCGGGGGTTGGCGTGGCTTAGTAGTTGACCCCCGCTCCGTGGGCGGCGCTGGTTGACCTAGACCACGAGGCATACACAGGGGAATTCGTGGGGTCGACTACGCAGTGACAAACAGCGTTTGTAGGGGAGAAATCCACTACAAGCCTGGGAAATTGGAGTTTTGGTTGGGGGAGAAAAGGAAAACGAGTCATCTGACCAAACAAAACCTAACCTAGCTAACCTTACTCATAGCTGGGGGCTCCACCTCCGTTAGGCCTAACCTGACCCCTAGCCAGGGGTTCCACCCCCGGATCCACGGTAGGCCTAGCTGAAACTAATGTAAATGATTCAGTAGTCAAAAACTTTGGAGGCGCGCCTTGTCCTAAAGTACAATACCTTAGTTAGAAGTGGAAGGACCAGGATACGCAAGAATTGCATAGAATGATCGTCTTTCTTGTAAAACTCGGCATAAACTTAAAATAACCGTAGGAGCACAAATGACAACCAACCTCCACCTCAACCATTGTGAGACTGGTCAATGAAATTACTCAGGCTGCTTCCTTTGAAAAAAATCTAACATGATTGGTCGAAAAAATTCGCGTGATGATAACGATACCTCATTGGTCACGACTGGATGACGTCAGTCAATATTGCGCATGCGTGATGCGTAGAAAACATCTCCTCACAGACGAAGACTGAAAACTACATAAAATCAATTAATTTCAATTGTGTCGCTATTATCCATTTCCGCCATGTATATATTGGGGTTCAAAATGCAAAGAATAGCGAGATCTAAATATTTCAGTAGTTTATAACTTTCGGAGGCACGATGTCCAAAAGTAAAATAATACCGTACTTCCAAACAGGTGCATGACTGAAACGATAATGGTAAAGGTGTAGATAACGGCACCACTAGAAGGAGTTTGTTGAATTGGTTGAAAAATTTTCTACACACTGATTTGATATTAAACATAAAAATGAAAACAACAATCCAAAGAACCTAATACAGCCTGACCTAACATAGCCATAGAGTGGGTATATTAGGTCAGGTTTTGTTAGGTTCTATGCACTATCAAACACACAATACACACTAATATGATATTACATACAAAAATGAAAACGACAATCCATAGAACCTAACCTTATATACCCAGGGTTTGTTGGTGAGGTTCTATTGGGTTCTATGCCAAATTTTGAAATGCATTTTTTAATATAACTCTAATAACACGATATTACACACAGAAATGTAGAGTAAATGAAAAAATTCTTAAAAAATACTTAAAATCTTAATAGAAGGTTGACGTTTCTTTTTAATATACTTAAACTCATCATAACAATAAATATTGAAAAAAATAAAGTAAATCAACAAACTCCTTCTGGTGAGAGCCATTATCTATACCTATACTATAATTTTACCAGAGCATGACTATACTCTCCACAAACCCAAGATGTATAAAGCATAAAAGTAATTCACACAAAACATGGCAAGAGCATTTTCTGTAAACTTCATGAGGTAAGAAAGTGTTTATGTTCTGTGGTGCAACATTGTATAACACACCAGGTAGTTAAAGTCTTAAGGATTACGGAAAATTACCTGTGTTGTAACTTGTGGTCCAGATCGTCCAGTCTTCTTGTTGTGACTTGTAAGATGGTTCCTGTGCCTCTTCTTCTTCTTTAGTCTTATTATATTTATAGTATATTTTTACTTATTCTTATTTGGTATTGTTAATTTTATTTATCTTAAAGTGTTAATATAATAAGTTGTTGGTGGTAGAGCGTAACCACAGCTGCCTCTTTACACTGTGTCTCGGGCAGTGTTGCCAGGTCAAAGACTGACCAACCTGTCCAATCTATAACGAAAAGTAGCCCAAAAAATAGCCCAATGTTAAAACTTAATTTTCATTTATTATTATTATTATTATTATTATTATTATTATTATTATTATTATTATTATTATTATTATTATTATTATTATTATTATTATTATTGTAGCAACTGAGCGACTGAAGAAGTGCCTCTCGGTATACGAGGGGATCCCAACACATGAACAATGCGGCGGTCGACAAAGTTAAGAAGAAAACCCAGTAATTCAAGACGTGAGTTGGGTCAAATGATGAGCAGGACAGGAGGATGTATGCAAGAGCCTGAAACCAAGCAAAGCTAGAGTGTAGAAGGGCTGAAAAGGAGTTCCACAAGGGGTCACAGCTCAAGACTGAAGAAGCCTCAAGTCCAGAAAACTTGGGGGCAAACTTTTCAGAGTGAGAGTTGTGAACTCTTGGAACAATCTACCAGAAAGTGTTGTGACGGCACCGAGTGTGAGCTCTTTCAAGAAAAGACTTGACCAACACTGGAGCAGGTTCAGGTACATTCAGGAGCCGGTGCATGCCCAGTACTTGCCAACAGTGTGTAATAGAGACGTGACCGATCGCCCAAGCGGCTAACGAGCCGATCAGTGGTGAAGAGGATAAAAGTAAGTAAAAGAGGTCAAGTCAAACCCAAAGGCGTTTTACCGCTACACAAATTCGAAATTGAAAACGCGAGCAGGAGTTGTAGTGGATTCCTCCCCTACAAACGCTGTTTGTCGCTGGCTAGCCAACCCTGCAAATTCCCCAGTATATGCCTCGTGGTCTAGGTCAGCAACCAGCGCCGCCTTGCATGACTGAGGTCAACTATTAAGCCACGCCTACCCCCGCTATATAAGACCTGGCCTCGTGGTGACCTACCTCTCTTTCTACCTACAGCCAGTTCTCAAGTAACACTGTAATGGTAGATCTCCCCTACAAGCACCGAACCTTCTCGAATTCCCCAGCCTACGCCTCCAGCATCGCCCACGGAGCGGGGGTCAACTATCTACCCACGCCTACCCCCGCCTTATAAGGCCTGACACCGCTGTGACCACCCTCTTTTCTACCCAGTGCCATCAGCAAACAACACCTCCTCCTCCTCCGCGCCAGCCTGGCGGCTCCCGCTCCCGCCGGCGAGCTATGCGTCCCTCAAGCTGCATTGTACATCCAATACAATATGTATACAGTGAGCACATTGTGAGTTTCCTTTCTCCATCCCATCCTGAGTGTGAACCAATATCTCATAACCCCACAACACCACCTCCACCGCTCCTGCCTGGCGGCTCTCGCTCCCGCCGGCGAGCATGGCGACCCACAAGCTGGTCCTCTGAGCACCCTCACTAACCAGCTCTCTCTACTCAACGCTTGTAACCATGCTGCCTTCCCAGCACCAAGCTGCATTGTACATCCAGTACAACATGTATATAGAGAGCACATTGTGAGTTTCCTTTCTCCTTCCCATCCTGAGTGTGAACCAACATCTCGTACCCCACAAATGGTGACCCCGGAGATTCGCACTCACACAGGATGGAGGAGAAACATCTCGTACCCCACACTGTCACCCCGTCTGGTCCCCGAGAAATGCTAGGGACTGTCAGTTGGTTGAAAATGTTCAAAGGAGGGCCACCAGACTGGTGCCTGCACTTAGGCACCTCAGTTACCCTGAGAGATTGGAGCGCCTGAACTTGCCTAGCTTATATTACAGACGGGCAAGGGGTGAACTAGTTGAGGTGTATAAGCATCTCAGGGGGCACTACTCAGTCGAGTGTCCTTACTTGGAGCTGGCGGACGCTCGCCCCACAAGGGGTCACAGCTCAAGACTGAAGAAGCCGCAAGTCCAGAAAACTGTGAGGGCAAACTTTTTCGGAGTGAAGGTTGTAAACTCTTGGAACAATCTACCAGAGACTGTTGTGACGGCACCGAGTGCGAGCTCTTTCAAGACAAGACTTGACCAACACTGGAGCAGGTTCAGGTACATTCAGGAGCCGGTGCATGCCCAGTACTTGCCAACAGTGCGTGACAGAGACGTGACCGATCGCCCGGACGGCTAGCGAGCCGATCTTTTGGTGAAGAGGATAAATGAAAAGGAAAAGTAATCAGAGACGTGACCGATCGCCCAAGCGGCTAACGAGCCGATCAGTGGCGAAGAGGATAAAAGTAAAAAAGTAAAAGTAATACACTGCCCTGTGGTACCCCGCTCGTGACAGGTAAGGATGATGATTTCGTGCCATTAATCACCACACACTGCTTGCGGTCATGTAGAAAGTCTTCTATCCACGCTAGGACATTTCCCCGAATTCCGTACCCTTCCAGTTTGATTTTCAGCCTTTCGTCTACTGCTTCTGTACATACGACCCTAACCGCTGGTAACTCGTGGTGGACGCTGGGTAAGCGGTGAAAGGAGGGTCGTAACATTATGGAAGTTATTGCCCAGCTTGCAGTGTTTAGTGTTAGTACAGGATGGAGGTGCAGTCAGTACACTGGAAACCTGTGATGTTTGATTAGGTCACACTTGACTTTTTACTTTTTGGGCGATCAGTCACCCTTCTGATATGTCATGAGATAGGGCACCATCCAACGTGTGAATAAATGTACTTTGAATGCACACACTGAACCACAGTATGGCTATTGATCGAATAAATTATTTTTCACCATCATCTCCCAGTGTGACAAATATGGCAGGTTTCCTCTTTTACTAACATTTAACAGTAAACTTAGTGAGGATCGTAACAAAGAGCAGAGTGAACGCCCAAATAGCTAGAAACTAACAAAAAGTAACTATGACATACTAAAATGAAATAAAATCACTACAAGTGTTACTCCAGCAGAGACTTGTACCATGTTTGCGAGGCGCCGAGTGACGTCACCAGCAGTGTAGACAGTGTAAACATTACCCAAAAGTCTGCCAGAAATAGTGAAGATACTGGACCAAGAAGTGTTACTGGCCTACACAACGGCTGAGTCTTCATCATGGTGTGTGAAAAGTGTCAGAAAAAACTCGGCAGTGTGAGTAATGTTTTCATTGTGATTTTTTTTTAAAGAATTTCACGTCCAGTTTTTCAGACTGTCATTGCCTGTTATACACTCATGGTTAGTGCTGTACTGGGCTCTTGTACTTGGTAAATACTGTACTTGGCTGTTGCTTGGTATGTACTGTACTGGGCTCTTGTACTTGGTAAATACTGTACTTGGCTGTTGCTTGGTAAGTGCTGTACTGTACTGTAATACACTCTTGGTAATTGCTGTACTGTACTGTAATACACTCTTGGTAAGTACTGTCCTGGGCTGCGGTCGAACGAATTACCCAAAAGTACCCAAAAGTATATTAAATCGGGGTAAAATCTTAATGAATATATGTTTTACATCAATAAAACCTGATTAATAATGTTTTCATTGAAATGTAGTCAAAATAATGAAATAATAAACAGCGAAAAACGCTAAATTCCAAAGAGTCACCTATCCAAAATGGAGATATAATTACCGATGTTTCTGTTACTTTGGGGTATTTAACATAGCCGTAGGATTTACTTTTCGTTAGGTTAGGTTAGGTTAGCGAAGTGCATCACGATGGATCTGAGTTATCTCCTTTGTTCACCAACTCTTTGGAATTTAGCGTTCGCCAATACTGAAAGTTTTTCGCTGTTTATTATTTCATCTTACAAATTATGTTTACAAAATTACACTAAAAATATTATTAAACATGTTTTGTGTATGTATAACAGATATTAGTTAAGATTTTACCCTTATTTGTTATACTTTTGGGTACATTTGGGTTTTTTGGGGTAATTCGTGGCTCCCCTGGGGGTGTAATACACTCTTGGTAAGTACTGTACTGGGCTGTAATACACTCTTGGTAAGTACTGTACTGGGGTGTAATACACTCTTGGTAAGTACTGTACTGGGCTGTAATACACTCTTGGTAAGTACTGTACTGGGCTTTGGTAAGTACTGTACTGGGCTGTAATACACTCTTGGTAAGTACTGTACTGGGCTGTACATTTCTCACATTCCCTTCTTTTGATATTGGAAATTGTTTTTCTGGTGTATGATGGTTTGTTTAGTCAAATGTGACTTTTTTTTTTAGAAAATCGACCTAACCATACCTAACTTCCTAGCTGTTGGGGGGCTGCCATATTAAACAGAAAGAACTTATTTTGATATCTGGTGCTAATGAAAGCAATTTTGTTGAAGCGTCATGGTGTAATTTTACCATTTTTTGTGGACGTGAGTATGAACGGACTGAGTGGGTTGTTTGTAAACAAACAGAACAGACGACAACATGCACTGGGTAAGATTCGTTTTATGCCCAACTCGTGTTTTTATTATTAAAATAGTTGTTTATGTTTTTTCTTGTGATTTTAACAAATATGTCCTTAATTTTGGAGCCAATGCTTATTTAATGATATGAACTCTTTTAAAAACTAGTAACAACAATGATAGCCAAAGTGGGCAGGACTCTGGAGATGAGTGAAAATGTGGGGCTAAAACACTAAAGAAAACACCAATAGAACCTTTGAGAGACCTAACCTAACCTAGGGATGGGGTGGCAACCCTGGCTGGCTCTCTAGAGGGGGCAGTTCAAAAGATGTCAAGGTCTTCAAGCTGCTTGGGGACCATATGGGCACGGGGATGGAGGAGACTGCAGTGGGAGCGGGTAAACAAAGTAAAAGGTTACAGGGAAATAGTGTTAGGAATGATGACAAAACTAAATTAGACAGGAAGTTAAAACCTAAACGCGACAAAGAGAGGACTCAGAATGTCTACTACGCACATATGTACCGAAAAAATCGATATAATAGCATTCGCCGAAACATGAATAAACTTAGACTCAAGTGAGTTACCTGCCGAATACCAAATTGCAGGTTACAAATTATTCCATACCGATAGGCAGATTAGGAAAGGAGGCGGAGTAGCAATCTATGTCAGGGATGATCTGAAATTTGAAATAAATAAAGAAATAAAAGCAGAGCAGAATACAGAAAAAATTTGGATGGAATTAATCGATGGTAGGGAAAAATTAATCACAGGAATAAAATATGGACCTCCTAATCTTGATAGAGTTAATGAGCGACTTATTTGGGATGAAATGCGCAGGGCTTCCATACATAGCAAAGTCTGTATAGTAGGCGACTTTAACTTTAGCCAAATAGATTGGATTAACCTTCCGGGTAACTCAGAATCATAGGATTTTCCTGAAACAATCCAGGACTGTTTCCTAAGCCAACATATAACCGAACCCACCTGGGGTAATAATATACTCAATTTAGTTCTGCCAAACAGAGAAAACCTCATTAATAATGTCGAGGTAGGGAATGAACTTGCTAACAGCGATCACAAAGAAATTTGATTCCATTTAGAATTTCAGGACAGCCGCAAGGAAAATTCCACTTAAGTCCCAGATTTCAGAAGGGCAAACTTTGATAGTTTGAAGAGGCAGCTGAGAGAAGGGCTATCACACTTGCGGATGAATTACATGACCTCACATGAGGTGACCTCACACAATGTACCCACAGAGGGCGACCTCACCTTACCTGGGGACCCGACGGTTGAGGGTGGCCCAATAACGAGGTCTGAGGTTGATGAGTTCCACAACAATTTAAAAAATGAGTTACTTAAGGCATAAAGGTAGAACATACCATACAGAAAACTCAGATCAAACAACAATGACCCTAAATGGATAAATAAATATTTAAAGAATATTATTGGCCAAAGGAAGGCTGTAGGTAGAAGGATAGATCGGGGTGAAGTTTACCTCCGAGATTATTATAAGGTATTGGCGAGTAGGGTTAAGACCGAGATAAGGAAAGCAAAGAGGAATAATGAGAAAAGATTGGACCAGATACCGGCAAGCTTACTGATAACGACGGAGAAATGAGCAATAATCTGAATAAATATTTTTCAACAGTTTTCACCACCAAAAATTTAAACATGATACCCGAGGCACCAACTCTATACAGAGATAGTGAAGAAAATAAATTAAGCGAGATAGTAGTGACTAGTAACGATGTTAGTAAGCAAATAGACAAACTAAAGCCTAATAAGTCACCAGGTCCTGATGAGATATTTGCCAGAGTATTAAAGGAATGTAAGGAAGAACTTAGTATGCCCTTAGCAAAGTTGTTTAACATGTCCTTAAAAACGGGTGTAGTACCAGAATCCTGGAGGATAGCGAATGTAATACAGATTTTCAAGAAGGGAGATGGATCACTATCCTCTAACTACCGTCCAATCAGTCTAGCATCAATTGTAGGCAAATTACTTCAAGCAATCATTTCATACTCTATTCGAAATCACCTGGAGAAGTACAAGTTGATCAATGATTCCCAACATGGCTTCACAAGCGGGTGTTCATGTTTAACTAATCTATTAACATTCTTTTCGTCTGTTTTTGAATCAGTGGACGAGGGGCACAATTATGATGTGGCATTGTAACGTACTGTAAGTGGCCAGTTGTCAATCCTCTTTAGTTGTCTATTGTCTCTTTGTATGGCCACACAAACGTACGTACATGTAGATATCTCACACTCAGGAATGAGGTAGGATAGAAACTCACAATGCGCTTTCTGTATATATATTGTTGTACAGCGCAGTGCTTAGGAGTGACTAGGTGAGGAGTAGGTTGCTCAGAGGTCCTGTAGGGCGAGGAGGTTTCTGAGGAAGCTGGGTGGTGAGGAGCTGTTGAGAGATGTTGTTGGTCCGGTAGCCGAGTGTAGAATGAGTTCCCCGGTCAGCTGGGGCCGTATTTATGTGATTTAGGAAACTCAGGATATGAGGTGCTCGTAGCGCGAGGGCCAATCACGGCAGTGGAAGCGTAAGGTGTGAAACACTCTGATCCTGAGCTGGAAGTTGAAGGTCGAGACTAGGTCGGTGATCGTACCCCTACGTCCACTGCATAGACCTAGTCTCTCGGCGTAACTGGCTATATGCTGATTGGCTGGTAGGCGCGCGGCCGGAGCTCAGTTGGGAGTTGTAGGGGAGAGGATCCACTACAGTATATCTCGACTTTAGCAAAGCCTTCGACAAAGTCCCCCAAGAAAGACTAATAAGAAAAGTGGAGGCTCATGGCATTAAAGGAGATATTCTAAAATGGATTAGGGCGTGGTTACAGGACAGGAAACAGCGAGTGAGCATTAACGGCACTAAATCCCATTGGAACAATGTCACTAGTGGAGTTCCCCAAGGCTCAGTACTCGGACCATTATTATATTTATTGTATACATAAATGAAAAAGATATTAGCGTAGACAGCAACATAAGTAAATTTGCTAATGATGACACTAAGATAGGGCGTGTAATTAAATCTGACGAGGACTTCACAAAACTACAGGAAGATTTAAAAAAAATTTTGAATGGTCTGAAAAATGGCAGATGAAATTCAATGTGGACAACTGTAAAGTTTTCAGTATAGGAGATGTAAACAGGGAAACCAGATACCAGATGATTAACGATGTTATTGAGAAATTCGACTGTTAGAAAGATTAAGGAGTAATGATAAGTAGGAATCTTAAGCCAAGTAAACAATGTGTATTTGCTCGAAACAAGGCTAATAAAGTACTTGGGTTCATACGAAGGAGTGTTAGTTACAAGACTAGCGAGGTCATCCTAAAACTATATCTTGCACTTGTGAGACCTCACTTGGATTACGCAGTTCAATTCTGGTCACCGTATTACAGAATGGATATAGAATCCTTGGAAAGAATTCCGAGGAGAATGACAAGACTAATCCCGGGCATTAGGAACCTTGAGTACAGAGACAGGTTAAAGCATATTAATTTGCACTCCCTCGAGAGATGTAGAGTGAGGGGCGATATGATAGAGGTGTATAAATGGAAGTCAGGGCTGAGCAAGGGGACATTACAAAGGTACTCAAACTATCCAACCAGGAGCGAACTCATAACAATGGTTTTAAATGAGACAAATTTAGATTTAGGCGCAAGATAGGTAAACATTGGTTTGGAAATAGAGTAGTGGACGAGTGGAACAAATATCATCATTAACTCGAATATGCTGGATAGCTTCAAACATAAGTTGGATGGATATATGAGCAATAGGGGTTGGGTGTAAATGGGACTGCCCAGTATGGGCCAATAGGCCCGCTGCAGTTTCCTCCATTCTTATGATCTTATGTTCTTATATTATAGCCGATTTCCAAAAAATTCTTACCTTATTTACCCGATGGACGAACAATCGTTATTTCTGTGAACCTGATTTCATGCACTGTGAATTGTGTTTACGTTCAGTAGACGTGATCTGGATACGACCAAGACACAACAATATTGACAGATAGGTTATAATATAGATCAGGTCAGGTCAGGTCTCTCAAAGGTACTAATGGTGTTTTCATTAGCATTTTAACCCCACATTTTCACTCATGTCTAGAGTCCTGCCCACTTTGGAAGGAACTGTTCACATGGGCTTCACATAATCTGCTTTAACCAATCAGAGGAAAGTTAAAATATTTTGTGAGATTTACATACCGGGTATGTGCAAAAATATAAGCCATCAGTTTGCATTTGAGTACACTATAGTTCCTTGGTGATCTAAGCACTGATAACAAGCCAAAAAAAAAACTTTTACCTCCACTGTAATTTAAATAAGTTAAGTTTTATATATAGTATGGAACTTTCCTAGGTTAGGTTCTGAATGATTTGTTTGGTGTTTTCTTTCCCAAGTTTACAAAGCCCTGCTGTGTTTAACCAGCAAAGCGATGGGCTGTGTGTGTGTTGCATGACCTGATGCCATATTGTAACTTGACAGCTGAGTTGATCCTTGATTGTACTGTTGTCTCAGCTGATCCCGCCTACAGTACAGTACCTGTGTTAGTACAGTATATTCTCACAGTGACCTGACCGGACAGTGTATGAAAATGCTTCCACAGATTATAATTTAAGTAGAGTTCTACAAATTGAAGTGAGAACGTCAACATGACTGAGAAACAAAGGAAAATGGCCGGGTTCTTTACTCACCAGTGGTAAGATGGACACATGTGACCTAGGAGTAGATGCACATAATAAATGAATGTTTTAAATTGTTGTTTTAACTTTTCCCATTAAAATTAAAATATGGGCCACCAATTTTCCTAAAAATTTGTTAGGGCAAGTGAAAAAAACTATCAAGGCAAGTGACCCTCCCTTTTTGCTATGGTTGCCTTCTGCGACAACACAGCGTAATGGGAATCCACCTGGGAAGATATTGGTAGCATAATGTATTGTCTAATGGTAGACCCTGCTGCCATGTGTGACCAAGTCCCAGGTTGATGATCTGTCTTTCTGCCTCAATTACACACAATTGCAGGGTTTCAATTGTTGACCTTACTGTTGACAACACAACATACATACTGTGGGTTAGAAATGAAGATACAGTAAGTCCTCGTTTAACGTTGCCCCTGACAACGTTGTTTCGTTATAACGTCACTACTCTTTAGGTACCCATGATTTGGATAATGTCCCGCCGATTCGGTATACATGTAATGTCGTCATGGACTACTCGGTACTTTGTACGGCACATCACCCTCTCTCATCTTGGTGCGCTACGCTCTCTCGCGGAGCATCACGGCGTCCCCGGTCTTTGTTAAGCATCCACCACGTTCGTGTTTGTTTAAATTTCTGTACTTGTATATGTAATGTATTTTATGGGTCAAAGGGAGGCTGGGGAACGTAACTCCCATATTTTATCTATTTCTTATGGGGAAAATTGATCCGCTTAATGTTGTTTCCGTTAATGTCGCGGTTTTCAGGAACAGAACCACGGCGTTAAGCGAGGAATTACTGTAATATAAAGCTATAAACTAAGACATGAAGAGCATGGGTGTGGAGTGGCTGACTCACCACTCCAGCTGGCTCCTGTGATGTCACATACAGCGCCGTAGACACACATACACTGTGCCACGTTTCACAACTATTTCTGGAGCATTAATGGTATAAAAGTTGAAGAAAAATCATTAAAATACTCTAATGTGGTTTAGCAATAAATATAATATAATATAAAACTAGTGCACCATAACTTCTACAGAATGCATTATAGGGAATCTTTTACACATAAAATGAATTACAGGTAGAAAGAGTGTCACTGTATAAACGTGAATGATGGGCATAAAGCGAGGGTCCAGTGTACAGTCGGCCCTTAACATACGCGGGTTTATAATACACAGATTTGCAAATACGCGGATTGCCCCGCTGGAGGCATATTCTGTACATTGAAGTAATTGAAGTACATTCAAATCGAGCGCCATTCAACTCGCGCGTGGCACTGAACACGGGACACCGCCCGCTCCCTCATAGCTCTCCCTCACTCAGTCAGTCTCGCTGTAACCACGCTTGTGTTGACATCAGCATTGTAGTTGCAAAAATATTACTTTTCCATGAATGTAGTATATCAAGCACAGTATGAATATAATATCATTGTAATATAACAGTATTTTAACCGAAAACTATTAAAAAAACGAGTAACATCTCTTGAACATTGGAAGGTTAGGTAAAGTCTTTTGTTTTCGTCATGTATTTTATCCTATTTTACATTGAAATACATCACGTTTCAGCAAAACTACTATTTATTTTTGAGAATATATTCATTCAGGCACAGTTTAGGTAAAATATACATGTGCTGTAACATTTTTTTAATTGAAAACGATTCGAAAAACACGTACCCTCTAGCCCTGTTCAAGGAGAAGACTGGGAGGAGCTGTTTGGTGCTTAAGACGATGACAAGGAAAAGATTTTGATGGATTTTAATGAAAATATTCAGAAAGACCCTGGCACTGTCAAGGAAAGTGGCTGCTGAAGGCTTCCGGGACATGGCAGAGGACGAGATTAGGGAGCTAATTGAAGAGCACGACACTGTAGTACATTTTATAAAATGTTTTTCAACTGTATTTTTGGGTAGATTTACATAAATTTCTTCATTTATTTTCATCCATTTATATGCACACACCATACTAAAATAAACATAAAATAAATTACTGCAAAGCTGGACTGCACATGTAGTAAAATTGTTATGTCTAGTGCGAATTACATGTTTATATTCAAATAAATCAGTATCTTACAAGAATCCCAGCTATGTTAATTATATTTTCCTAGGTCATATCATTGGCATTTTAAAATGAGAGAAGCTTAGTAGGACTGTTAAATAAACACACAGAGACCTTCACCTCAAACTTATCACCTCAACCCCCTCACCCCCCCAACCCCTCGCTGGGTGGCGGAGCCATCAGTCCCCTCCCCCAGCCAGGCTTTTAGGCTTACAGTTTTTATCTTATATAATATCTCAGACTAAAGTTAGGAGATTATAATTTGCATTGCTGGAATCCTTGCAAGACAGCCAATAATTTGAATATAAACGTCATATATTTTGCTCAAGAGATAAAAAATTTTGTACGTTAGTGTACAGTACTGTAGCACATTTTATAAAAAAGTTTTTCAACTGTATTTTTGGGTAGATTTACATAGATTTCTTAGTGCAAAGCTGGAGTGCACATGTACTAATTTGATTACGGTACTAAAATTGTTTTGTTTAGTGCAAATTATAGCATGTTTATATTCAAATTAATCAGTATGTTACAAGAATCCCAGCTGTTAATTATATTCACCCAGGTCATTTCACTGGCTTTTTACAAGAGAGAAGCTTAGTCACCTAAGAACTGATAAATATACAGGTACACGCGTTAGACCTAGGCCTGTGCCAACTGTCAAACGTACTACCTCCCCTCGCCCCACGCCCCCTCGCTCGCTCCCACCCTCTCTCCCATCTTCTCGGCGTTGCTGGAATCCTTGTAAAACAGTGAATAATTTAAATATAAACATCATGTATTTTGCACAAGAGATAAAAATTAATCACCTGTATCACATTACAGTAGTGATTTAAGAGTAAAAGTGTATATGTACGTATATTGTATTCCACATACACATAAGTATAAATAAAAAGTTTGTGATGATCGGACAACGTCCATTTCGGTTAACATCACGTTTCCAAGAACGTATCTAGGACGTTAACCGGCGCATGACTGTACTATATTACTGTAGTGTACAGTATAGTTTAGATGTAATGATTACCATGAAACATAGACAGGCTGCCACCTTCACCCACACTTTGAGTTGAATTATATTACAGGATTTAGTTACTTACTAATTAACATATAATTTTCCTTTTCCTAGCAGAAGCTGATTCAGGGTAGTGAAGTATTGCTCACACAGTCAGTCGGTAAGATGGGTCCCATAAGCTCGGTGGTCAAGGTGTGATATCAGAGTGAAGCGCTTTAAGGATGTTTTGGTTCATTAAAAAGGAAATTAATGGTGTGTTTTTACAGGTGATTACTCCAGACACATGGAAGGATGGTGCCCGCAACACAACTGAGAGCGGTGGACGCAAGATAAATGAGAACAAGCTTTTAACGAGCAAAAAAAATCGTTTTAACCCTTACACTGTAAGTAAAGTGTTATTTGTTTGTTAAAGGATTTATTTTTGACATTATAACAGACATATATCTCTGTAGTACTGTACCGTACTATGTAAGGTACTGTACTAGAAGACTCATCATTGTAAGATGTCTTCACTAGACCACCCTGCTAGCCTTACCTCCTCAACACACAACTGTACACTCTTCCATTGTGGTTCCTCAACAAACTGTGTTGTATTGTCTTTTTTATAATTTAATAGAGTAGATCATCATTGTACTGTTAATATCCTCACATTATATCAAGGGTTTATTGTACAGTAGTTGTATTTAATTCACTAAGAAAATCTAACGGCATGATTCTTTTCTAATTACCTTATCTTTTTAGACTAGATTCGTCGAGTGCAGAATCTGCCGGACGAAGGTTCACCAGGCTGGCTCCAACTTCTGCCAGGGCTGTGCTTACAAGAAGGGTATTTGTGCTATGTGTGGCAAGAAAATACTCGACACTAAGAGCTACTGTCAGTCATCTGCATAAACTATAATAAGATTGTCTGCATACACGAGGAACTGACGTGAAAGAAATGACTCGTATCACTTGTTTCAATAATGAATGATGTGTAGTTTTAAGGTGTAAAACCTGCTTTCTGTAGTTTGTATTTTGTCAGGTATAGAAAGAATGAATGAAAGAGAGCACAAAAATGGTAAGGCATCTGGACTGTTACGCTGGCGTAGGAGAGATCTGTTAGTGGCACAAGAGTGAAATGAAGACCAGGAAACACACTTGAGGGGAACTGTAAATAATAATGTGAAGAGTGTAACTGGGTTATTTTACACCTGTTAGTAACTCAGGTATGTGTCTTGAACTGATGTGCAGATGTTAGGGATTTATCTTCTTAGTACTGGACTGTGTATGAAAGTTGAAGATATGGTGTGTGTGTGTGTGTGTGTGTGTGTGTGTGTGTGTGTGTGTGTGTGTGTTTATATGGTATAACCTTGGAAATCTGGCACTATTGGGGTCTAGAGCCTGTTGGACAGTTTTACGGTGGTGGAATTTAAATTTTACTGTGCATTTATGGTGAACAATAGATACCCGGGACATGCTCATGGTAGGCTAACCTTACCGGGCTGTGAGGTGTTATGGTTACATTTTAATCCATCTGTCCGGACGATCTTGATATTATTTCCAGTTAGCGTAGTTAGAGTTTTGGTTTGGCTAATTTACGCTTATCTTGTTATCAGACAATAACAGTTTCAGTTGTGCTTGTTTCACCTGTAAGTTTCACAAACACACACACAAACTGAACCCCCGCATTACGGAATGGATGTGTTCTTGAAGAAAAGAGGAATTCTGAGTTATTACTGTACAGTACTTGTGTTCCTGCCACAGTTGTGTAACACTGCCATTAAGGTTTCTTTCTCTATCCCTGGTCCCCTCCACACAGCAGTGGGACACAAGTAAACATCACAGATACACTTTGAATGTTACAACGTATAGTATGAAACGTAATGAAAGTTTTTCTAGAAAATATTAATTTTCTCCCAAAAAATGTAGATAAGTTTTAATGGAAACTGATTTAGGATAGTGAGACATTTCCTGGGACTTAAAACAATTAAGATTAAATTTTTTTTATTGTAAATAAAATCTTTAATATAATATTTTTTTTATACCCAGAAATTTTGTGTAGTACATTATAGTGCAGTACAGTACACAAGTCTACAGTAGAGTACAGTAAAATACAGTAAAGTAGAGTGCAGTACAGTACACTAAAATACAGAAGAGTACAGTACAGTTTAGTGTACAGTACAGTAAAGTAATGTACAACACAGTACAGTAAAACGTACAGTATAACGTAGTGTAGTGTACAGTAAAGTACACTGTACATTGCAAAGTACAGTATACAGTACATTGTACAGTACAATACAGTACAGTGTACAGTACAATACAGTACAGTGTACAGTATAGTAGTGTACAGTACAGTATAGTACAGTGTACAGTAGTCAATTGTGCAGTGCAGTGTACAGTACAGTGTACAGTAAAGTAAAAAGTACAGTAAAGTGTACAGTACAATAAAATACTGTCATTTACAGTACATTACAATACAGTAAAGTACAGTACAGTGTACAGTAATATACAGTACATAGTACAGTACAGTGTACAGGATAGAAAAGTGCACAGTACAGTAGTGTACAGTACAGTACAATGTACAGTACAGTGTACAGTACATAGCAATACAGTAAAGTACAGTACAGTGTAAAGTAATATACAGGACAGTGCACAGTAGTGTACAGTACAGTACAGTTGTGCATAGTGAACAGTGCAGTACAGTGGTCCCTCGGTTAACGAGATTTCGGTTAATGATTTACCTTCCATAAGATTCTTAACTTTGGTTAACAAGCAATCCCTCGATTAACGAGTTTTTTACGAGCCGACCTCAACATGTTTTCGCTTGCATTTGGTGGTCCACCAGCTGTAGTATCAGTCCGCCAATACAGTAATCGGTTTTAGGGCTTAAATTCCTTACTATTTTAGTAAATATCAAGAAGTTTATACTATTCAATAATTTTAAAAGTTTAATATTAACTTTTTTAGTAATTTTAACAATTATTGAACATAATTGAAGGTAAAGAAACTAGTTTCTGGCGTGCCATCCAGCCTGTTAATACACCAGACAGGCGTTAGTCTCTCTCTGTTTTCAGTGGAGGTAACATCTTGCTTGAGACTCTCTTCAACTAAATGCTTTTTTTCTGTTTCCAAGCAAATTATTGGTCATTTTGAAATATATTTTACATATTGACAATATATAATGCAGTGCAGTGTTGATTTAAAGAAAATAATCTTGAAATACACTAAGAGAACTAAAATTTTATGGGTGAAATGGTGCCATGGGGTGACTTCTCTTCCACCCCAATGCCTTCTCTTCTTCCTTCTCCTCCACCCCCATTCTAATTCCCATCATCATCATCCAGGAGCCTTCTACATACACACCTCAAAGAAAGTGTACTTTTCTACCTTTTTTGTTGAATTTAGGCAATTTTCGGTGAGCTGGAACCAATTACCCAAAAACCCATTGAAACAATGGTTTCAGTTAACGAATTTTTCGGTTAACGAGCAACCTGCTGGAACGGATTGTGCTCGTTAACCGAGGAACCACTGTATACAGTATATAGTAAAGTACAGTACAGTAAAATACAGTACAGTAACATATAGTACAGTGTACAGTATAGTGCAATGTACAGTAATGTGTACAGCATGTTAAAGTACAGTGTACAGTAAAGTCAGTACAGTATAATAGTGTACAGTGCTGTACAGTACCATAAAGTATGTATACACTATACAGTATCATGCAGTGTACAGTAAAGTACAGTACAATGTACAGTATAGTATAGTACAGTGACAGTAAAGTACATTACAGTACAGTGTACAGTAAAGTATAGTACAGTGCACAGTTCAGTAGTGTACAGTACTGTAAAGTACAGAACATTACAGTACAGTGTACAGTACAGCTCAGTACAGTAAATTACAGGATAGTAGTGTACAGTAAAATACAGTGTAATATCCCCTGTCTTATAGGTAGAAGTGTTTATATAAATGGGTTAATTACATTAGACTTGTATAACTATCACCCCCTGTAACTTTCCACTAGCTATGGGGTTCATATTCAGAGCACGTGATAAGGTGTGCCAACGGGAAGTCACGTCACATAGTGCTGAGCTAAGGAGTAAGTATCCGGCTCCCTGGCCACCTATTGCAGGCAGTAGTTAGATATCACTCATGAGGGGAAGACGTTATTTAGAGCCATCGTTGAGGTGCTCCGTCTTTCCTCGAGGGAAGACGTCGGATATATTTCCGTTCTCCCTCGACGGGTTCCTACTCAAAATCACTCCTACTATCACATCAATCGGACGTATTTTAACAGAGCTATATAACATAGCCTGTATCCCCATTTAACACTCATAGCTACAGTGATTAAGTTATGGTGATAATCCTTTTTGAAAGTGTACATAGAAACTTTTTATAACAAATACACAAAGGAACATATTGGATTTCACTACAGAAGATCCAATAAATTTTGATCTATATTTTAGTATGTCTAAAATATAAGGTAACGTGGTTCACAAGTGATTGTTACAAGTGGTGACAACCCAGGAAGGTTGTTACATATATGACAGTTTCACAACTGTTATATTCACGGTAAGTCACCTCAACAGATACACAGGTAGAGATATTGTTCTCCCCATTACTGTGTTATACTGTTACTGTCACTAAGGAGCTTTTTGTTACAACAGTACAGTATAGTAGTGTACAGTGCAGTACAGTACCATAAAGTGTGTATACAGCATCATGCAGTGTACATTACAATACAGTAACAGTAAAGTACAAACATGCCGATGGAGCTGCGAGGGAGTGATTATTGTTTTTTAATTTCCTGACACAGTGAGCATTAAACTAAGAAAGTTAATTGTTTAGTGAAGAAAAAGAAGAGGATATTAAAAATTAAATGGTTAAACCAAAGAATTGTATGCTAAGGGATCATACACCGAGGAAGCCTATACTCTATGTTCCTATTGAATTAAGTATTTACCGGGAAACTATATTAGTGGCCAAGACAGATATAATAACCTCCCTACAGTACAGTACAGGTGTACCCAGAAAACCGGCGTCTCAATAACAGCTGCTTCGTGTAACCGATGATTACATATAGGGGAAGTACCCTGCAAGTTTTGTTGATACCCCGGAGGTCCAACAATCTGGAGAAGAGCGGCAGTGCCGTTTTAAATTTGGCAGGTGATGGCGTGGTATGAATTTTTGCCACCAGGGGGCTCTGTACACTGCCCTGAATCATTCCCATATCTTTACTCTTACATTGTGTCTCTGATTTCTTGTTTTTTTTCATTATTTCCAACTTAAGTGTCTAAATGCCCAGGTGATAGTTCCTCTTGTGCTGGGCAGCTTGACGTGATGTGATAAGGCATGATACAGCATAAGAGTGGTGATGGACCAGCAAAGAGTGGTAGAGACTTGAACTTGCCACCCTAGACTGTCCTCAACACAGGTAAATAACAGTCTCAATTTATGCTTTACATTGCTTATTTAAGGCTTATTATGCTTGCTTTATGTCTGCTTGACAGTGTGCAGTAGAGAGACATCAAGGGTAGATGGGAGTTTTTGGAGGGTGGCCGGTTTCTCACCCCCTGAATTTGTTATATGGTCTTAGATTAATTGCTTCAATAATTGTTGATTCACTAACCAACGACTATTCCTGGTCCCTACATGCATCAGTTATCGCAGCATGCCTTTTTCTCTATACAGGTTGTACCTCCCTGATCCGGAATTCCATGGTCTGGCACGATTTTAGTTTATCCCAGATGGAAATCGATGTAATCTGGGTTAGGAACTTAAGAGTAATCCGAGTCGCATCATTTTGGATGTGGAATTCAGGCATCATTTGAGGTGATGACATTTACTGTACAGTACAGATCATTTTACCATGCTTGAGGGACAGTTCACTTGCACAGTTGGGGTCCCCCAAGAGAAAAACTTGAGTTACCGAGCTTCTAATACAACTATATACGAGGTGTTGTGTTTTCACCACCACTATCATTCTAACTCAACAAATGTCTGTCTGTCAGGGAGTGGTGGTGTTAACATCTTGGCTGGCTGGGTTCAATGAGCTGTGGCTGGCTCTCTCTCACACAAGATATACAGTGGGGTATGCTATAACGAACGGATCCTACTACGAATATTCCTATAACGAACGGTTTTACCTATAAAATTGAGAATGCTATAACGAACGCAACTCCTACAACGAACGCGGATGAATACGGGACTATTTCGCCTGGCGCATGAATATTGTTGTATCGCGACCCACAACAAGAGCGTCAGGCGCCATCTTTGTCTCATTGTGTAGCCAGTGCACCACTGTTATTGTTGAAATTTCGTCTTTTGATGTGGAAATTCGCGTTATTTGTATAACTATTTTGTTATACAAGTATACAATTGCAACAATGAGTCGTCCAAAGCGAGTGAGAAAGCTAATAACCCTTGAAACTAAGAAAGAAATTGTAAAGAAACGTGAGAATGGAAGAAGCATTGCGAAACTTAGTGATGAATATGGGATGGCTAAATCGACTATATGTACGATTTTGAAGAATAAAAAGGAGTTAAAAACTGTGCAAGTGGCTAAGGGAATCTTTAGACTTAGCAAAGCAAAGTGTAATGTGATTGAAGAGATGGAAAATTTACTCTTAGTGTGGATAAAGGAGAAAGAAATGGCAGGTGGTAACATTAGTGAAGCTATAATTTGTGAGAAGGCAAAACAATTGTTTGAGGACCTTAAGGCCAAGACTCCCAGTGGAAGTGATAGTGATGTGCCAGTGTTTAGGGGTACCTGCATGCTGAATAACACTAAGGTAAGATAAAGTACCGTATTTTTTACATTTTCCACAGAATTTTTTCAGTGTTAAGTGGTTGTATTTGGGGGCCTGGGACGGATTAATCCTATAACGAACGAATGCTATAACGAACGAGGTTCTGGAACCAATTACGTTCGTTATAGCATACCCCACTGTATAAACCTTACTAGTTGGGAATCAAACCCTGGACCTCTGTGTGTGAACAGGGATCGCTACCACCTTGCCACAAGGACCAAAAAAGCAATCCTGTTGGCTGCACATGCAAGAAAGGAATTAGAAATAACAAAATAGTAGTATAATAACTTTTCAATCTATTTATGCATACCATAATTACAATTTTAAAATCTGATAGGATCTGGAACAAAACATTACACCAAATGACAATAAAACATATCACATGACCATTGCCTTGTGGTCCTATAGCAAACACTTCCAGAAGACACAGTTACCATATTTGGGGGTCGTGCCAAGTCAGTGGTCAACCCTGCACTACATAAGTCATCCCCATCTGACTCTTAAAGTTAAAATCAGAGCTCAGGCTATGAATACAAAACATTACCTCTCTGCCTCTTACCAGCAGTGGATGTATTAAGCAATACAATCACTTGTTATTCAATGATGTTTTAATACTGACACATACACCACAAGTTAATGGATTGAAATCACACCAGGTAAAAACACTCATCACCACTTTGTCTCAACAGACCAGCAAAAGTTTAAACTGAATTTCATATTATTCTTTTATGTACACCAATAATAAAACCGACCTGTTCTATTATTACTACGCACAACACTCCATAAAACTACACACTAACTGGTCACATGAGCCCAAAGCTAATCATACCACTAGGATTGGGACTCGTTCCACCATGGGTATATTATGTTAGGTTGGGAACTATCAAGTTCAGTCTACTGCTTCTGGTTCATGAGTCTGAATCCTGGGGTCCATGAGTCTGAATCCTGGGGTTCATGAGTCTGAATCCTGGGGTTCATGAGTCTGAATCCTGGTGTCCATGAGTCTGAATCCTGGGGTTCATGAGTCTGAATCCTGGGGTTCATGAGTCTGAATCCTGGGGTTCATGAGTGAATCCTGGGGTCCATGAGTCTGAATCCTGGGGTTCATGAGTCTGAATCCTGGGGACCATGAGTCTGAATCCTGGGGTCCATGAGTCTGAATCCTGGGGTTCATGAGTCTGAATCCTGGGGTTCATGGTTCAGAGAGAGGTGACGACATTTGTGGGTGACTGTACATGTGACAAAAATATATTTTCATTACTGTACACATTCTGTACACTAGGAGACATCGTGTACACTAGGAGACATCCTGTACATTAGGAGACACACTGTACACTAGGAGACATACTGTTCACTAGGAGACACACTGTTCACTAGGAGACACACTGTACACAAGGAGACATAGTGTTCACTAGGAGAAATACTGTTCACTAGGAGACATACTGTACACTAGGAGACACACTGTACACTAGGAGACACACTGTACACTAGGAGACACACTGTACACTAGGAGACATACTGTTCGCTAGGAGACATACTGTTCACTAGGAGACACACTGTACACTAGGAGACATACTGTTCACTAGGAGACATACTGTTCACTAGGAGACACACTGTACACTAGGAGACATCCTGTACACTAGGAGACACACTGTTCACTAGGAGACACACTGTTCACTAGGAGACACACTGTACACTAGGAGACATCCTGTACACTAGGAGACACACTGTTCACTAGGAGACACACTGTACACTAGGAGACACACTGTACACTAGGAGACATACTGTTCACTAGGAGACACACTGTTCACTAGGAGACACACTGTTCACTAGGAGACACACTGTTCACTAGGAGACACACTGTTCACTAGGAGACACACAGGAACAGCAAAAGTTTCCATGGGTGTACAGTAATTACCTGACCTGGATCATCAATGTAATTCAGTTACAGAAGAGAAGCTGATACAGAGGACAGAGGGGCAGATGTGTTGTAATGACTCAGCCTGGAGGGGAGCAGTGTCATATATAAGACAATATGGTATAGGAATGCACTAAAATCATGATATATTTACTAGAGGATAAGAACAAGTCCAAAAAATGGTTGCCACGTCGATACACCGTAGCGATCATTGACACCAACACTATAATATTTATCTTTAATGTCAACAATAAAAGTATCACGAAGTTTTATATGAAGAAATACTAAAAAAGAATCATTATACTGTACAGAAAATATATACAAGATACAGACAGACAAGTGAGAAGCACAAGAGCCAGTTGTAAATATTCCTGAGGGTTGAATAATTGCTTTTTCCTTAATGACTAACATTGCACAATAGGTTGTACGGAGAAAGCAAGCACTCTTAACGTTACCTCTTGTCGTGTGAGTCTACTTATTAAAGTTCATAAGCTTTTAGTGTGATAAATTAGAAAATAAATGTCATGTGTTTATATACATTTTATAACCCAGAGATATTAATTATAAACTTATCAGAGACCAAGCAGTGCAATAATCTCAGATCTAATTTGGCACTTAATGGCACTCGTATCGTTAACTGGGAGACGAGCGGGTAATATCACTCCTTGGGTTGTGATCTTTGGTCGGGCCACCACGCGCTCTTTACATCCTCAGTGTACGGTTTTTGCCCAGAGAGGAGAAGGAAGCCAGTTTGATGAGACTTCGCATCTTGCTGCGACCGTCGGCTTTGTGCTCCTCCTTGGGGAACCTCGCCTTGTACACCTCAGGGTACAGCGACTTGAACTGTGGCGAGAAAAGTCTCGACGTGATTAAAGACGCCTTGAGGTGCATTATAGTTAGGCTCACTTAACAATATTCATAATTTTTCAAAGTATTATTTCATGAACACTACAATCTTGTCTCAGATCAAAATAAAAATGAAGCAGAAAAGAAATAAGCAAGACATACTTCCTTGAGTTTCTTCTTCTTGGTCTTGGCTGATAACTTTTCATTATTAACAATTTGCTCAAGTAGTTGAGTCAAAAATTGTTGAGAGCCCGTCATACGCTGGCGCTCGTACTCGGTGTTTGAGACCTGACGGCAGTAAGTGATTGTCACGCCCCCGTCTCCCACGGTGGAACCATACACAATCTGCAACGGAACACAGGGAGCGTGCTGCTGTCCGCCTGCTAAGCATATACCAGATGGGAAGAGGAAGCTATGCCACCACCACCAACAAAGGCAATGTTGTATTACTGTTTTATAGATAAAATTAGAAAATCCCAAGAAACTCTACAAATATAATACAAATGAGCAAGCTGGAGGGGCACGCAGAGAGAGAGAGAGAAAAAATAAAAAATAAAAATAATAATTAAAACAAATCTACAATATACTTCAGAGCAGAAGATTATGTAGCCAAATTAGGGAGAGGAAGTTACCAGAAGTATCAATGACCATAAAAGCACTACACAAAACTCACTAAATATTTTTGATGTCCATTATGATGCACAAGGCTACACAAGTCACATTATTGGGTAAGAAAGTTCCCTAAACACAGGAACTAACTTTGTTTTAATATATCTAGAATCCTGGAACATTATTAACTTAACTTAGATAAGGACGACCATCCATGTTACAACATTTGAGGAACAATGATGAGTGATCTTTGCTCACATCTTCCTTCTCACTGTAGCTACTATGCTGTGCTTAGCTTTATACTAGACAAGTAATACAGTACACCACTTGGCCACACACAGCTTGACACTTCTTCCCCAAGATGAGTCTTGGGGCTACAGTACTGTAACCAACCTTTGTTCATCACTGGCTAACTTCCATGCTCCAGTACAGTACACATACCTCAGTCCAGTTCAGCTCCACAATGAACTCATAGGGAGGAGGGAAGATTGTGGGTCTCCTTGTCCTGAGTTAACTATAATATCAGACATCCAGGATAAGTCCTCCATACGTAACCTCAGGTCAATCCAAGGTGACCCCATGTACCTAAAGCAAACTACAGTACGTACGTGAGAGGACGTGGCATGTGTAATATTCCAGAGGGGAAGTAACTACATAGCTTGAGATGGGAATGTAAAACTAACCTTACTAAGAGCCCAGTGTTACACAGTTCTCCCACACTACCTCCTCATCCAGGAAGTGCCTCACTAATGTCACTGCCAAGAACCAGGTGTCTCTCTGTAGATCAGTCTTTAGGTACTGTAAGTGCCTCACTATGTTAAGATGAGTCCAAGATCCTTCCCTTGTTGTGAGGCCTGACTGCTTTAGCCTAATTACTCCTTCATTATAGACACATACACTCTGGAAGCTCCATGTTTAGATCTATGGTTTAGAAGTGCCAGTTGATTAAACTGCTTTTTTATTCTAATATAATCACTAACGCTTTGACTAGATGTAGAGGATGATGAGACCCATTGCTCTTCCACACCTTTCAGTAAATGTCAAATGGCTTACAACTGTGAGTCTTATTTTGGGATGAGAATTTATGACTCGGCCTAAGACTAGCCTATGTAAGAGAAGGCATGAAGGACGTGAAAATGAATGCACAATAGCCTGGCCATCACTTACTGTAAGACAACTACCCCCCATCTGGTGTATAGACACACGAGAAGTTGAAGTCTGGCCAAGACTCTAGCCTCACCTAACAGTTAGCCTAATAAGTAAGTGATTCTTCCAGATGAATCATAGAACTTACTGTAAGATCACAATTAGAGGAAGACTCATCAAGGTAAGGGTACAGTCTGCAGCATTAGTCACAACACAATACTTAACTCCTATAAAGATTAAAAGCAAGAAAGCAACAATACACTGTGAACTTTGTAATAAATTCAGGAAAGTTTTCTTCACAATCTTGATACACACACACACACAGTCCTATACATCCAGTTTAAACATGAAGGGAAGACCAGACACATCAATCCTAACAACTTGCTCACCTTCAATTATTTTCTCAACTGGTCAACCTTTATAAAGATCAGATGACAACACGGTCAAACTTACCTCAGGTCACGACACAGTACATAATGCCAGGACTGAGCAGGAAGCAACAAGTCAACAAATTAACACACTCACTTCTAACCTTTACTATACACTGTACCAGAGTTGGAGGCTTCCTCACCCTCAATTGAACCATCCTCCAAGTGTATAGTTTGTGTTGGTATTGAAGTACTGTACAGTCACTCCAATTTCTTCTTAAGACCCATAACAGCTCAGGAAGGAAATTGCTCTTTTACTACAAACTTCCTCACAAAATAATATATTTGCTCTTTTCACTGCGAACTTCCTCACAAAATAATATATCTGTATCTCACAATTCTTAAGCTGAGGTCCAAACAATCACTTGGAAACAACACTATAATGACAACAGTATCATTCAAACTGCTCTCACACACCTGACAAGAGTTATGCCACTTTCGTTGGGAGAGAAACATCCACCTTTGTGGCACAGGTCTAAACTGATGTTTACAGCACTTACATAATCTATCTTAGCTAGGTCAAGCTGGATGTTTATTTCTTAAGCTTTAAAGGGTGGCAGATATCATGTGATGTTTAGGTCAGGTATACCCCGTCCTGGATGGACTGCGCACATAAATATATCCGTCTTCTAAGAATTAAACCAATCCAAACCTTATGTTCTCCCATAAAAACCAGACCTATCCACCTGAACAAGACTCTGAAGGACTGGTCCACTCTTCACTAACCCTAAAAAGAACTGGAGGGTTTCTCTGGGTATCTTGTACAGTACTGATACATACACACAACCTAAGAATGGTGGCGGACAAGGTCATCAGACACAATAGGAGCATTAAACAGGCCACCAACTCCCTTCCTTTCTCAAAATAAAATCAACTTGGCTTCCTTTAACACTACATTCAGCCTGAGCCTGTATATCCCTACCTCTTGGGTCAGGCACCTGTGTGGATAAAATACTATTTGAAAGGACAAGCCAAGTTATAAACACAGTGCCATAGTGTAAGGTCAGTGTCACAAACAAATGTCAGATGAACCAGTAATTGGATAGATGACAAATGAAACAAATTTTAAAACCACCTGAATCACCTGAAGGCTGAAAACAATCTTACTGTGCTAACAAAGTTTTGAAGGAGGTATATGACACCACTGTAAAGTTCCTTAAGTGCTATACAGTACACTAGAAATAAGCATGACTTAGTTCCTCAAGCTGAGCTGTCCAAAGAATTATCTGCTTCTGGTTTATGACATATGAGAAGAATACAGTTTACTGTGCAAGCTGCTCTAGCATCAAGCATAATTTGTGCCTCTCAAGCCCAATTCTAGGGTTCAGGGTAAATATGAGAGATCTGAACCACTGTGACTCATCGCCGTCAAGGGTCAGCCTGTCTTGGGGGTACATTACAGTACCCAAGTCTCCTCCAACATGAAGCCACAAAAACATCTAAGTGACATAAACAGTTCCTTGACCATTAAACATCTGGCAGCTTGTCAAGTTGTAATAAAGATAAAATATATCATTAACTCTGGGGAATAATTAGGCCATTGTAATCATGTATGAACCACTGGTCTTAACCCAAACTAAAGATGTGTTTGTGATAAGACACACCTTCTCTTGCCTGAACTATTAAGTACAGTACAGTACAGTGCTGTAATGTACTGTACATTGTTGTAATGTACTGTACAATGCTGTACTGTACTGTACTTTACAGTACTGTCAGCACAGCACAATACAGTACAGTACAACACAGCACAATATTGTACAACACAGTACAGTACAGTACAGGACAACACAGCACAGTACAGTACAATACAGTACAGCACAATACAGTAACGTACAACACTTTACAGCACAGCACAATACAGTAACGTACAACAGTTTACAGCACAGCACAATACAGTAACGTACAACACTTTACAGCACAGCACAATACAGTAACGTACAACACTTTACAGCACAGCACAATACAGTACAACACAATACAATACAGTACAGTACAGCACAATACAATACAGTACAGTACAGTACAGCACAATACAATACAGTACAGTACAGCACAGCATAATACAATACAGTACAGTACAGCACAATACAATACAGTACAGTACAGCACAGCATAATACAATACAGTACAGTACAGCACAATACAATACAGTACAGTACAGCACAATACAATACAGTACAGTACAGCACAGCATAATACAATACAGTACAGTACAGTACAGCACAATACAATACAGTACAGTACAGCACAATACAATACAGTACAGTACAGCACAATACAATACAGTACAGTACAGCACAATACAATACAGTACAGTAAGTAAGAAGGTAACAATATTGAGGCAGATATGTGTGGCCTCACCTTCCCAGAAAATACAAATAAATAAAAAATGTTAGAGTAGAGGACAGATGGACCGATGATAGTACAGTGAGGAACACCACACTGTGACTTGTTGTACCTTAGGGTGAGGAACACCACACTGTAACTTGTTGTACCTTAGGGTGAGGAACACCACACTGTAACTTGTTGTACCTTAGGGTGAGGAACACCACACTGTAACTTGTTGTACCTTAGGGTGAGGAACACCACACTGTAACTTGTTGTTACTTGGTTGTAACTTACTAAAGTAATAAGGTGCACACTGCCCCCTTGTCTACAACTACTGTGGATGAGAACTACCCTCACAAAGTACATTAACAGTTACACATAAAACAAATATCAACTAATAAATTAAAATACTATAAGGTACAGTGTGCATAAGGGGAGTCGTGTGATAACAATTAATGCAGCGCAGACATACACGAAGGCACCACATCAAATACTGAAACCTAAAACTATTGCTTCGTTTCACCCCCCAAAAAAGTGTTTACAAAAATGTTCCACCGAACAAAATGAGTGTTTGAGCATGCAAAGAAAGCATGGTAAGCATGCACCTCTACCCCTGCATGAGGCATTACCAGGACAGCTACACTACACTACAGTATAGGCTATACACCCTGTGTGCCGTTCAGATTCTGGTTCCTGGAGGAAATTTTGTACAGTACAGTACTTAAGTGAGACTCATTAAGTATTTTTATATAAAGTAAAGGGATGATGACACACTGTTTGCCAGGACAACACACATTTGGTCTTTATGTAATAATAAATATTTTTCAAAGGCCA